GTCAGAATACTGAGTGTTTTGTTGGCTTGGCCAAGTTTAGCATTTAAAAATAAACACAAACTTCAGTTCAGAATCCTAGTGGAGAAACGAAGTTGGAAAAGTCGTTCATGCCATGGAGTATGGACATTCAGGATGGAGGAGTTCCCCGCCCTGCCCCCAGCCTTGCTCAGAGCATCTGTCAGCTCCCAGTTACCATGGTTAGCAAAAACGATTGCTGGACCGTTGTCTGCATCACACAGAGAGACTAGTATTTACTCAATAGATGAATTTTTGCTTTAGATTAAAATCAAGACGAAAAATGAAATGAGAAAGTTTACTTTTGTTTAACATGTAGAATTATATCCTGATTCTTATAGGGAGACCTGGCCTGTAACCTAAGACCAGCCACTGAGTTTCCATAGCCAGATGGGATGCCTCGAGGACTTTTGAATATGAGGAATGTTTTAGCATTTTCTTTGCAAGCTTAGATTCAAAGAGGACCTCTTTGGAAGCTTGGCTGTGCTCCATTTCCTGGCATGAGGATTGGCTGGCTGGATTCTTCCTTTCCACTCACAGTGCTGACAGGGTGGAGTGTACTTCCATGAAATTGTATGTTTCCAAAATAGGACCCACAGTTTTGCTTTACTGCAGTTATAAGAGTTGTATCTCTAACCAAAACAGAGAGGAGCCCAATGATTCTAAAAACAGAACGCCAGCTCTGCTCTCAAATCCTGCGGGACGCCATTTTTATATTTTACAAAGGGGCTTTCAGTGGGAAAGTAAAGCAAGCAAATAATTTCTAAAGTAGTACAAATTTTGGATTTGTTTTTTTTTTCAGTCTTACTAGTAACCACTGCCAAAGTGTGGTGGCCGCACATATCAATGCTTAGAGGTTTTTGCATTCTGGATGGCGTCCAGGTAGAATATACATCTCTGACACTGTATCCAAGCACAACCATACGCCAGCCTATTCATGAGGGGCATTCCAGTGTTCCTTGCTGTAGGGGTGGAGTCATTATTTCCTGTCACAGGATGATCTGAATAGAAGCTGCCATGTATGTGGGCTGGGATGTGGCCCAGTAGGTAGAGAGTTTCCCTAGCATGAAGCAGCCCTGGGATTGGTCCTTGGCAGGGCATACCAGGCATGGTGGCTCATGCCTCTAGAAGGTAAACACAGGAAGAACAGGGGTTCAAGGTTATCCTTGGTTACATAGGGAGTTGGAAGCCAGCCTGACATCCATGAGACCCTGTCTGGAAAACAGCAACAACAAAGAACTGGATGAGGATGAGCAGCAAGAGTCAGGCTCAGGAGAAGGAGAGAGGCTGCTTTGCCTGATCTAGTGAATTTTTTGGTTACTGATCTGGTCCCCAAAAGAATCTACTGACAGCCTCTTGGCTGGTCCTTTTCACTTCCAGGGTGACATGGGAAACAGCTTCCGTTCTGGGTCACAGGTGACAGCATCTTTACAAACATCCCCACCCCACCCCACCCCAGGTACTGGAAGACTGCTGAGTCAGACAGTACAGTAACGAACTATGACAGACTGACAGGGTCCCTGTGAGGCAATGACTGGGGCATGGTCCTCCCCAAGTGTTCCCAGGAAGTAAGTGAAAGTAGTGGAAGGGGTGTCCGGGGATTCGGACATCTTGTGATTAGTAGGAGGAGGTGAACTTTTGCCTCCTTTCCCAGCTGGGGTCCCTGCCCCCACCACCACGTTGGTCAGTTTTGAGACCCCAACTGTAGCTTTCCTCAGGAAACCTGAAGGTGCTCTCGGCCCAAGAGCCTGCTCACAGGATCTTAAGGGGTTTGTTTTTGGTTTTGACGCCCTGTAACATTACTGGAGAGAGACTCTGTGTGGCCCACAGGGCAAAGCTGACACCTTTTTCTTGTCTCTCTTTCTGCTCTCATCCTCTCAGTTTTGAAAGTAGGATCCTCAGGCTCCAAGTGGCTCCTCTTCAAAGATGCGTCTGCTTTCACGGTGAACTCTTGGCACTTAAAAGGGGTTTTGATAACTTAAGGACCTTCTTACTGGCTCCGTTTCCTCCCTCTAAGAACTGCTGGGGTTGCAGAGATGAAAGTACCTCCACAAAAGACTCCCAGGCACTTCCCAGGGTCTCCTGAAGAGAAGGTTACCTGGAGGGAGTGAGGCACTGTTCCCTGGAGAACTGGCCCGGGGATGCAGTGAGCAAGATGGCAGAGGGCACCGAGTGCAGAGCCTTGAAGGGTGGATGTAGAAGTCACGGCCGTACAGTGTGTCTGAGATGAGAAGCATCCTCCTGCAGCCCCTCCTCAGATTCACGGAGCTGCCTCCCAGGAGGTGCACTGGCAGTTAGGAGTGCTTCATTCTGTTTTGATACAAGGCCTCAGCATATAGACCAGGCTAGCCCAGAGTTCACTGTATAACCTGGGCTGGCCTTGGATTTGTGATCCTCTTGCCTGAGCCTGGATTCCAGATTCAAGGTGTTTGTTTTTAAACACAAGCATTTCATGTGTTTAAATAATAATGTGTTTAAAGAAGATGATGCAATCTTTGCCTGTCCTGGAGAGGGATGTGCTCCCCCAGGCAAAGGGGATAACGTGAAGTCTTGGTGCGTTCCTGCAATTCAGAAGAACAGAGGAACTGGCGTTAAGATTGTAGCCTCAGAGGGGTGACGGGCGAGCACATGACTCCATACTGCATGGGGCCAGCCTTTGATTCTCTTTGGGAGAGACATGAAAACTGGGAAATATGAACTGGGGAACTGGTGCTCTCTCTGCACAGAGCAGATCAGAATGCCAGAGGATGTGACTGAAGCATGCTTTACTGTGGCCACCGGGATTCTAAGTGTTGGGCGTTTTGATTTACTCTTACCAAGATTCTAAGTTTATAAAGTTGTGCTTTGGTGTTATTTGTTCAAATTCTCAGGAATGAACAAAACCATGGCTTCTTTTCCCCTCGGCCATGTAGGTACTGTCATTAAACACCCTAAGAATCAGTCTGTCTCTCCCTCCTCCCCTCCCTCTTTCCTCCCCCCCGCCTTCCTTTGGTGCCTCCCTCCCTCGGTCCCTTTCTCCCTTCCTCCATCTTCCTCCCTTCCATAGCATAGCCAGGAAGATTCTGGGGGCTCGCTGGACAGAACACTGAACACTTCAGATTCAGTGGGAGACCCTGTCTCAAAACATAAGGTTGCAGAAGCGATTGAGAAAAAAACAGATTGACTTCTTGTCTCCATGTGCTCACACGTGGGTGAATTTGCACCCCCCATACATGCATACAGTGCGCTCTCCCCCTCCCCTCTCCCTCCCTCCCTTGCTCTCCCTCCCCTTGTTCTCCTTCTCCCTTTCTATTTCCCTCCCCCATGTCCCTCCCCCATCCCCACAATACCCTTGGTTTCATTGGGTTCAGTATTGATCTTGATGTTTTTTCCCTCGACCTGAGCACTTACCAGAGTTGGAGAAACTGGCTTTTGATAGCCAGCAAGTGACTTTGGTGTACGTTCTTATGTCTAATTCCTTTCTTACGTGCTAGGACTTAGGTAAGAGGAATCACAACTGTGGTGACAGCTAAGGACAGAGCAGTGTCAACAGAAGGGTGGTGGCCTCCGACAGACAAGCAGACAAAGGTTTTCTGCTGGGCTGGCCTCCAAAGCTCAGTGGAGGTCGTTCACTGATACAGGTCGTTCATTGATACAGGTCATTCATGGATACAGGTCGTTCATTGATACAGGTCATTCATTGATACAGGTCGTTCATTGATAGAGGTTATTCATTGATACAGGTCATTCATTGATTGATACAGCCAAATGATAATTGGTAGAAGGAAGATTCCTGATTGAATGGTGAAATCTGTAAAATGGTTACAAATCTATAAGATAAAAGATCAAGTGGGAGCAGGAAACAAAAATTAGTTTTCTGTCAGATATTACATTTGATTTGAAAGAATTTATTAACTAACTCCCAATGTTTGCCCTTCAGATCTGAGGCTAGGTTTTTCCAACCAGAGACAAGCCTGTTTTGTTTTATCTTGTCTTGTGTCTTTCCCTGCACTATAGGCTAAGGTGGGTTGGGCTGGGGTGGGCGGAGAGCCAGTGTCTTACCCTCCAGCAGCCTCCCTGTCAAGAGTGTCACGACACCTGAGGCAGTGCCAGCATACCGTGCCATAATCAGTTCCCTTGATTGTCCATGTCTAGGGAAACTAGGCTTGGGATGACCTTTGTCTTCCCAGACAGAGCTGTCAAAGTTAAGTTATAATACAGAGTGATTCTTACCAGGAGCAAACTGGTTACCAGTATTTCGGACAGCGTAGCAGGGCAGTCTGATCAGAGCAGTGACAGTGAGAAACCTGGAAGCAAGCATCTGCGTGGAGGTTTTCCCGTGGAGCATTCCGAAGGAGTGCTTTTGTCAGTAGGGGCCACACGAACTGTTCCAGCTTGTGATCTTAGGAGGCTGCATGTTCTGCCAGTTTTCAGTTTGCTTGTGGTAAAAGTACTCCAGGCTGGAAAGTGAAAATCAACTATATTTTCATATGTCTCAAATGTGTGATGTTAAGCCTCACTCTGGAAAAGCTTCAGCAGAATTCCACACTATCTGACCAGTTAGTAATCTGGCCTACCAGAGTTTTACATTTATAAATTTTTATTTTCTTAAGATTTATGTTAATTATTTTAAAATGTTATTTTTTTGTCTCATGTAGGACAATCAATATAGTACCCCACCCTCACAGACGTATGCAGAGAGGCCCGTCTGTCTGCTGATCATAGATTTGATCATAGATTGCTAATTAAGTCATCGAAAGCAGGCACTGTTGAGTGTTGCCCCGACATTCCTGGTCACTGTTCTCCCTGACGCCCACCAGCAAAGCATCTGATGAGCGTGTCCTCACGCACAGTGAACTGGCTTCAGCACCTACTACTAAACAGAGGGACACGGGGCAGAGGTCACTGTCTGTCTTCTGTAGGTGACATCCCCAACGTCACCCGTACATCCTGCTGAGAACAGTCCCGGTGTCCTTGTTTACGGTTGTTCCTCTCCTCCATGACAGATATCAGTATTACCTGCAAGTCAAAAAAGACGTGCTTGAAGGAAGATTGAGGTGCTCCCTGGAACAGGTGATCCGGCTAGCTGGCTTAGCCGTGCAAGGTAAGGCCTCCCATGGACTTCCATCTTCTGCTTCAGTATGCTCTCCCAGGACGAACAGTTAGATTTGGTTAAGCAGCCTCTGGCTGAGGCTCCCTGGTCACTTCAAGGTGATTTGAATTAAGATGAAAAATTAGTGACTTGGGTGATTGGAGAGGATTTCTCACAGCTGCTTTAGAATCAGTCAGTGCTTGTTTGATTCTGGCTCTAACTGAAGAATAATAGTTTCTTTTAAAAATTCTACCTGTAATTGAAGCTGCCTCTCAGAGTGTGGAGGACATTCTCTCAGGATTATCCCTCTGTACCGTATGGTCATATCCTGATATTGTGAATTATTCTCACAACCTAAAGTACAGTGACGTTAACTGATATTCCGTACCTCCTGTAACAGAGTTTATGGGAGAACTCTAAGTAGATGGCAGATGTTTGACGAGGGACAGGAGTTGGATGAACTTGTCTTTCAACCTGTCTGGCTATATTCAATCTTTACTGCATTGTAGAATGTGTTATTGTGTGTGCTTGCGATTCTAACTTTTCTTTATGTATACATGTGTGAGTGTGTTCCAGGTGTGTGTAGCAGCCAAGAGAGGGCGTCAGCTCCGCTGGAGCTGGAGTCGCAGGTGGCTGTGAGTCACCACACGTGGGTGCTGGGAACCAAACTCGGGTCTCCTGGAAGAACAGCAAATGCTCTAAGTCACTAAACCATTCTCCATATCTGCATCCTATCTATCTATCTATCTATCTATCTATCTATCTATCTATCTATCATCTATCTATCATCTATCTATCTATCTATCATCTATCTATCATCTATCTATCTATCCATCTATCTATCTATCATCTATCATCTATCTATCTATCTACCTATCTGTCCATCTATCTATCTATCTATCTATCTATCTATCTATCTATCTATCATCTATCTATCTATCATCTATCTAATAGTGGTTTAAATGCATTTGCTCATATTGAAAATAGAGTGTGTGCCTATGTGTATGTATATGTACCATGTGGGCAATGCTTGGGCAGGCCAGAAGAGGGCATCAGATCTGCTGCAACTGGAATTACAGATATTTGTGAGCCACCGTGTGGGTGCTGGGAACTAATAAATGTCTTCTGCAAGAACAGCAAGTGTTCTTAACTACTGACTCATCTCTTCAGCCCCAAGTGGCAGAGGACTGAGAACATGCAGTGTGTCCTTTGCCTTTACACTGGGCCTTTGGTCTGTGAGAGGCTTTTCTTTCTGTTCCCTATATGTACTCTCTCTCCTCACTGCTCGGGCACCCTGGGTGTTGGAAGACCCTTGAGGAAGTTGGTGGATTCAGTCTGGATTCCTTTTTTATTGGGTCTTTGAAATGAACTATTGTGTCTGAATTTAAGTATATAATGTTAAAACATGGTTCTCTCTGGGTCTGGAGAGATGCTTCACAGGTAAAGTGCTAGCTTGCAGGAGTGAGGGCCTGAATTTGGTTCCAAAGAGCCCACATAAAGGCGGGTGTTATCTGTGTATGTATCAGAGGGCATAGGCAGGAGGCTTCTGGGGGCTTGCTGAACAGAACATGAACACTTCAGATTCATTGGAAGATCCTGTCTTATAAGTTCACAGAAGCGATTGAGAAAAATCAGAGATCGACTTCTTGTCTCCATGTGCACACATGTGGGTGAATTTGCACCCACACATGCATACAAGTCTCGTTCTCTCTGTCTGTCTCTCTCTCTCTCCCTCTCTCTCCCCCTCCCCCCTCTCTCTCCCCCTTTTTCTCTCTCTCATTTTTCTAACACTCCCTGTTGGGCCGTTAGAAAGACAGACCATACCCACAGAAGTAAAAGAACTGAGAGTGATAGTGATTCCGGGTGATTGAACTTGAGACAGGCTCAGTGAATTATCTCTGCTCTGAGCACCTCGCCTGAGTGGCAGCTGCACTCTGTAGGGGGAGCTCCATGTCTCTGTCCTGTTGGCCTTTCTGTGGTACATGCAGTCCCTCTTCTGCTCACTTTGCTGCTAAGTGTTTTTCCACGGAGCCAGGATCCAATGTGGGGTTGGGTTTTGTAAAAGCAAAGCAGAGAAAGGCAAGGTATTTCTGCGGATTCAGTTTGCATGTGGCCCCTCCACCACCACCACTACAGTGAACCGGCAACGGGGAGAAACAGAGTTCCTGGCATCTTGGGACATTAAAAATGTGTTCAGGAGGTGTGAAGATTTTTGAGGTTGCCTGCCAAGGGTGATTTACAGTGGGGGTTTCCAGCCGGAGCTACATTTCTCCATATTAACCTTGACTTAGAAAGTCCCCTTGGCAGGCAGGGATGAGATACCAGCCTGGTACACAGTCAACAAACAAACACAGGTTTGTTTGAAAGTCTTTAAATAGCCATTAAGGCTTGCTTCCAAATTTCTTCACTCTTTCTAAAAACCATCTAGTGGAGTTCACGTGCCAGTACTGACAGTTGCTAGGTTAAAGTTGGGCCCACAGAAGAGGCCTTGGCTTGAATGTTGTTTAATGGGGCCTCGGAGAGTGCAGTCGAAGCGGGTGTGTGGGCACAGTTTGCTGTGTTGTACCATCTTTCTCTTCATGTAATGACTGCTGTTGTTTCCCCGACTTTCCCTCTCAGCTGACTTCGGAGACTACAACCAGTTCGATTCCCAAGAATTCCTCCGAGAGTATGCGCTCTTTCCTATGGTGAGTTCTTTTTCCTTTCTCTTGGAATCTTACTTTCCTCGGACGTTTGATTCTTTATTTTGGAATGCTCTGTGCTTCCTGGGGAGGAGGCCTGCACACTTTAATATGGGGACAAGTGTTATGATGTACCAGGAGTAGAAGGGTGCATCTTCCCACCTCACAGTACTTCCTGATCCCCCCAACCCCCTGCCCCGGACAGAATGTTGGTAGTATGGAGAGGCAGCACTGAGTCTTGTGGGTTGACTTAAAGTTTATCAGTTCCAAGAGTGCTTTTCTTCTGTTGATGGAATCTGTAAGGTTTTATGTATATTGTCATGTAATCAACAAATATAGAGTATTACTCTTTTTCTCATACCTATCTGTCTGTCTGTCTATCTGTCATCTCCTTGACTGTGTCTGTCATCTGTCATCTTTCATCTATCTATCTATCTATCTATCTATCTATCTATCTATCTATCTATCTATCTATCATCTATCTATCTATCTATCTATCTATCATCTATCTATCTATCATCTATCTATCTATCATCTATCTATCTATCTATCTATCTATCTATCTATCATCTGTCTATACGTATCTATCCACCCATCTTTCTTTCTCCTATCATTTATTGTTGACCAGATTATTTTAGTTAGGCTGATAGTACCATTTGAATGTAAGCGGTGAGAGTGGACTGGGTTCATGGGTTCAGTCCCCAGAACCACAAGAGAGGACAAGAGGTGGGGGAGGTGTGTGAAATATACAGAAATCAGTCTCGTTTGCAGGAGCACACGAACATAGGGGTGAGTTCACTCAAGAAGACGAATGACTCATTCACTGACAACCATAAAACACTCAAGAGAGAAACGCAAGATTACACAAACACGTGTTCTAGGGCGTGGCTTAGAAAAATTTGTGTTAAAATGCCCGTGCAACCCAAAGCAATATACAGACTTAATGCAACCCCTACCACAGTCAAATGCCATTCTTCACAGAACTAGGAAAGACAACCCCAAAATTTATGTAGAGCTACAAAGGATCCCTGAAGCCAAGGCAATCTTGAGCCAAGGGAAAACTGAGCCAGAGACATTGTGCTTTCTGAACCTAAGATATGTTACCCGTGTGCTAGGTGATTTTATGTCAGCTAGACGTAGACTAGCGTCATCTGAGAGAAGGGAACCCTGATTGAGAAAATGCCTTTATAAGATCAAGATGTGGGTATGGCCGTAGGGCAATTTCTTAATTCACGATTGATGGGGAGGTCTCAGCCCATTGTAGGTGGTGTCATCCCTGGGCTGGTGGTCCTGGATTCTGTAAGAAAACAAGCTGAGCAAGTCAGTAAGCAGCACCACTCCATGGCCTCTGCTCAGCTCCTGCCTCCAGGTTGCTGTCCTGCTCGAGTTCCTGTCCTGAGTTACTTCAATAATGGACTGTGGCTGCAGAAGCCAAGTAAAGACTTTGCTCTCCAACTTGCTTTTGGTCATACTGTTTCATCATAGCAATAGTAGCCCAAACTAAGACCCCACGTGATGATGGCTGACACAAAAGGGTCCTGGCTTATAGGCAGATACATTGACCTTTGGAATGCAATGGAGCCCAAAAACAGATCCACACATGTATAGCCTTTGACAAAGAGGCCAAGGACATGCAAGGGAATGGCAGTTTCTTCTGTAGGCTGTGTTGGGGTGGTACCCACACAACATGGAGTGAAATGGGGGTCTTATTCCCCCTGTGTGTATGAATGGACTATGATGCAGGCATAAGCCCCTTGACTTTAAAAGTCTTGGGAAGAAAAAGGGGACAGAAGGCACTCCACAGACTTCCGCCATGCAATGGTTTCTGGCATATGACCCATCAAGTACAAGTAACTAAAAAGCAGCAAGGTCACATCAAATGAAAGAACTTCTACACAGCGAAGGTCGAATTTTACAGAGGAAAACTCACACATGGGGAGAAAATGTTTGCAAATCATGCTTTGCACCAGGGACTTGCAGCCATATCTGTGGGGACTTGAATGTGACTGTAAGAAAACACACAACCTTATGAAAAAATGTGTCGTGTGCCCTGAATAGACATTTTTCAAGAGCAGATAAAAATAAAAGCCAAGAGATATGTGGAAAACATTCAGCATCACCGACCATGAGGAGATGTTGTGTGGTCTACAGTGGAATGCCTGATTCCTTCTGGTGGGATAACTGTGGTCAAAGGACAGTCATCAGTGTACAAGGGACTTGTGGCTACCACACAGTTGCTAGGAGGTATGTTAGCACAGTCACAGGGAGACAGGAGCTCCTCATAAATACACATGGTCCTTATCTGTCATGGAGACACTTGTCTACCGATGGTCTTCGTGCCCTCTTCATTTGGGACATCTGGCTCCTCTGGACATACTTACTAAACTACACCAGGCCTTGGTAGTTGGGTGTCCTCTGCTGTAATTGCTCTGCCAGATCTGTGTATCATAGAGGTCAAAAGTCCCCTGCCCGCCTCTTAGGAATGCTTTACTGTCTGCCGAACCATGGACAGCAGCCACCAGCCATGTCCTGCTCACAGGCCCGCTCCTGGGTGAGCACTTCCTAGCACCTTCTGTGTTTGAATGTACTCATTTTAGTTATTTAGTTCTAAGCCAATTAAAAAATGCTAGGCCCAGGGTCCTGAAAGCTGCTACCCACTGCCAACTGGTACATAGTGTGTGCTGATACTTATTTCTGGAACGAATCAGTGATCTAAAACTGCCCATTCCTGAGCTGAATGGAAGGTAGACTAGAGATGTCACCCCTGGGGAATTCTGACACCTGGATGGTGGCTACACTGAGAGTAGTTTTACTGAGGATGATTGGACACCTCAAGAAGGCAGAGTGGTGTGCCTAGCAGCCCCGTGTGCGGCTTCTGCTCTGACACAGAGACACTCACCGTGGCTTTCTCCTTGGTTCCTTTTTGTAGCTTTGTTTTGTTCAATTGTTTTATCCCGAATTGTATTTGTCCCAAGTATATATTAGAATATAATAAATAATATATTTATTATATAATTATTTATTCTATATGATAAGTATACTATAATGTCAGCCCCCAAGAACTTACAGCACAGGTTTCTCAGAGCATGCTCCCTTGGCTGAGTGAAGCTCAGATGGACTACGGGCTGCCAGTCTTTCTACTGTTGGAACCTCCTCCTCCATAGTTGTCCATTCCCCTGCCTGAAGACCTTTTGCTGGTGGGCAAACATGGAGTCTGGACAGGAGATACATCTTAGATACCAACAGAGACATTAAAACACAAAAGCAGATCCCAAAAGATGGTTGAATAAGTAAAACTACTTGCACTGTCAGTCTGAAGGCCTGACTTTGGTCTGCAAAACCCGCATAAGAGCTGGGTGCTCTGGCATGTGCTTGGATCCCAGCAAGGGTGCACTGGGAAGCAGAGAGAGGCAGGTCTCTGGAAGCTTACTGGCCTGGTAGCCTAGCCAACTTAGGAAAGTTCCAGGGCAGCAAGAGATCCTGATGCAGGCAAAAGGTGGAACGTGCCCGAGGACTCACGTGAGGTAGTCCTCTGACTTCCACATGTACAACATGCACTTCCGTGTATGTGTGCACACACACCTACAAGCACACACATGCATGCATGTATGCGCTTGCATACATATGCAAAAAAATGGCAAGAAGACAAAGGCAGAACTATTGAGGGAGTAAGAAATAAGCACTTGAGGGAAAAATTCAGCATCAGATGATAAAGGCCTCGAAGGGTTTTATTCTTTCTGGTTTTGGAGATTGGGGTTTCTTATGTCCATGATGTCTGAGCTCAGGGACCACAGCAGGCTCAGAGCATGCATAATACATACTGTTGATAGCCAGGGTGCCCAGGAGAGCCTTCCTGAAGGGTTTCCTCTGGACCATGGCTCTGTTCTGTCAGGACTTTGCCTTTGCCCTGAACAAAATCCTTCTGAGGAATCAGCTTGTCAAGTAGTGCAAACTGCCCACTCAAGGAGTAGACCCTTCTCCACAGAGTCTCTCTATATAGGCCCTCTCTCCATACCTGTCGTTAGAATAATTGATTAATCTGGGTTTAGGATATACCAGACCGTACCCTGTGATGAAAGTATATTCCTAGCCTTTTGGTGTTGTTCCATTTTGAGGCAAGGTCTCACAAAGTTTCCCAAGCTAACTTTGAACTCAGTGTGTAGCCTATGTTGACCTTGAACTTGTGATCGTCCTACCTCAGCTCTCCTCCCTCCCAACCGTCAAGATTATTATTCTTAGATCTAAGCTTGCTCTCTTCAGAATGGTTTGCCATTAGCCTCAGTGGATGTTTATATTCAAATTTAAAGTAAAGTTAAATAAAATTAGAAGTTGAGTTTTCTAGTCACACTGGCTACCTCTTACTGTTCAGTAGCCACGTGTGTCTAGGAGCTGCTGTGTAGGAAAGGTCAGAAGTATTTTCTATCTTCCCCTAAAGTCCTTCTAGGAAGTGCTGAATAAGAAGCGGTAGATTCCCATGCTCATGAGTTGGGAATGGATCTAGGTCTTGGTTCAGCCCTCATCTTTCTTCTCTGAGTACACATCCCCAGTCCATCCTGCTATGCTCTGTCCCGGGTGGTCTGTGCTCTGAACCTTTACCACATAGTTGCTGGGTGGTGCTGAGGCGATACTGGGGCTAAGACCCTTACTGGCCTCATACATAACCTTGAACAAGTTAGCTGATACACCTCAGTCTTTCCCACCTAAGATGAGAATCATTCCAACACCACTGTGAAGATCAAGGAAAATACCCATCTGAGGTACCTAACTTGGTCTAGGGCAAATTCTCAGTAACCATCATTTGGATATGTTACTGTTACAGTGACCCTGTGACATGCAAATGAGTTGATCAATGCCACTGTCTGGATTTTAAAACGCAAACAGACAAGATAAGCAGAGAGACAAACTATCATTAACCAGTTTGGTACAATCAAAACCTCTTGTCTAAAAATACGAATGTTATATGCCATACAACGAGCTTAGTTCAGTCAATATTTATTGACCGCTTACTTTGTCTTATAAACTTGGGTCATTGTGGGAGAGCCCCATGACTGGCTTCCTACAGAATGGGAAGAATTGCTGCCCTTGAGGTGGCTATAGTCTGTCAGGGGGATGTGGGCAAGGAAGGAGCTAGGATGCTCTACAGATAACCACAGAAGAAACACTGTAGACAGCGAGAGAGTGATAGCTGAGATGGGGCATTTCCCATGGCGTGATGGTACTGTGTGGCTCTTCCCAGACGTGTGGGCACCAGTGTAAATAAAAGCCGTAAAAGCTGTGTTAAGGACAGCAACTTGCCTGAGGCTCCCGGGAGAGGCGGTTTGGAAGGACAGGCTGGGTCCCACTGAAGAAAGGTCCAGATGCCAGGCCCAGGTGTCGATCTAATTGTGCAAGCAGTGGGGAACCACGGAAAGTTGTCAACTTTCAGCTTGGTTCTCCCGGAGCTTTCAAAGGGGAGCATGCATTCCTCTGCTGGGGGAGGGACTCGGGATGAATGGCCCTGTTTGATCCTGCCTAGTCACTGACTTGGCAGATGGCATTTCTTCAGCAGAGGAAAGAACAAAGTACACAGACGGTCCACAGGTGTGTGGCTGTACCACACACCCTGCCATTTGTTATCCAGCACTGCCACACTCAACACATCTCGGGTGTGCAAACCTCGCCCCGCCCCCACATATGCACAGGTGGCGGCATTGAGCGGCAGATAGAAGCAGAAGGGTGCTTTGGGGTGTTTTTTTTTTTCAAAGTAGGAACTGGAGGTTTAGTGCAGCCCTTTGATCTCCAGTTTATTCTCTTCCTTTGTGCCTCTTAGAATGAGCACCTGGTATGGCTGCCTGAGAAACAGGCAAGCAGCTAGTGTCTCAGGCACACAAGACCCTTCTGGTCTCACAACAGGAAGCTTGTTTATTTCCTTCCGGTCATCCCAGTGGCTGTGAAGAAGTCAATCAATACCAATAGTAATAAAGAGTTCTTTCCTGTTAATCCGCTTCTCTCGTGTTTCTCGGGAGCTTAGGACCTTCTTGAATCCACAGAACAGAACCTCCAGACATAGTTAGGGGCTCTTTATTCGGTTTTCAACCATACCAATTCCTCACATTGTTGTTTTGAGGTAGAGTAGTTCTTAACCGTGTCTGTTTTGGGAGTGGTGTAGAGTTTCACCCATGTAGGCTTGTGAGATTGGAAGTAAACTTTGATACAAATGCTATTTAAAATATTTTTGTTTGTGTTCGTGTGTGTGTGTGTGTCCAGAAGTCAGCCCTGGATATTATTTCTAGAGTGCTGGTCCACCTTGGGTTTTGAAGCTGTGTCTCCTGTTTGACTGGAACTCACTCACTTAGGCTGCATCTTCAGGCCAGCAAGCTCCTGTTTCCCCCTTTGCAGACAGAGCCTCCCAAGCCGTCTGCTTCAGTCGTTCCCAGGTTCCCAGCACCCACATCAATGGCCATGAGGCACCCAAGCCATCTTGTAGATTCTAAGGCTGGACCTCAGGTGTTCATGCTCACATGCCAAGCATTTCACTGACACTTTGTATGAATCCGTCCAGATTTCAGTCCCCGCCCTGCACCCCACCGACAGTATGAGCAGGGAGAAGCCTTCAGCAGGATGTAGCTCGAAGACTCTTGCCATTACCTACGGAGCCCAGACACCCAATGTGCGTCTTTGCTCTCTTGGTGTCTGACAGCCGTCTGTCTGTTCCTTGGCTGAGTAACTAAGGACAGCTAGCTACACATGAGGTCCTATAGATGTTCCTGTAGGTGTCCTGAGGTGTGTTTCAGCCTCTCCCATGCTGAGCAGCAAGTAACACCAGAAGGAGCTGACTCTGCTGCCACACAGCTTAAATTCATTGCCTGGAATTTTAGAGATAGACAAAAGGTCCTGGCACAGCAGATTCCAGTGTTTGACTCTTAAAAATGATAGCCTGGATACTCGTTGGCTTCTGCCCTAATCATTAAAACCACATACCCGCAGGCTGTGGAGATAGCTGGACAGTAATGAGGTTGTAAGGACTTGAGTTTGATTCCCAGAAGCCACGTTAAAGAAAAGCTGGCTTGCAATCCCTCTGCTGAGGAGGCAGAACCAGATGAGGCCCTGAAGCTCTCTGCCTAGCTGGCCTAGCTATCTGGTGAGCTCTAGGCAAGTGAGAGTGCTTGTCGTTTAACAACAACAACAACAACAACAACAACACAATCCACAAGGCTGGCTACACCTCCTCGGTGTAGGAGCAAGAGCTGAGGTTATTCTCTGCCATCCATATGTTTACACATATGTTCATGTGCACATGCATATGTACCTGCACATACATGAACACACGCACATACACACACACAGCACAAGTACCTACCAAGCAATTTAATAAAAGTACATGTGAGAGGCAGACAGGCAAGTAAGAAGATAAATAGAAAAAAGCTGCCAGGGACCCACTGCTGTGGTAGGAACTGTGATGTCTGGATCCCACTGGCTGTGGTGAAGAGGTATGTGGCACAGCAGGAATCATATACTTGAGCCCATTCTTCTACAAGAGAGAGAGGGGACGTATCACCGGGGACACCTGATGAGAGAGCCACTGTCAGACACCACCCCTCATCTGTGTTCCTATTCTTCCAGGATTTGGCCATGGAGGAGGCTGCTCTTGAGGAGCTGACCCAGAAGGTGGCCCAGGAGCACAAAGCCCATAGGTAAGGCAGCTGGAGACTGAGAATCTGTTAACCCAACGTAGCACACCTTCTGCTCCTCTCTGCCTCTGGCTGTGCTCCCTGCTTCCTCCCTCCCCTCCATCCCTCTTTCATTTTTTTTTTTATCTTCCTTACTCTCTTCCTCTCCCTCCCTGTCCCTCCTCTCTCTTGAAAAGTTTTCCTTTTTAAAATTATGGAAAATCTTCATAGCCGCGGGCAAGCAGGTATCTGTTTTAAGTAGACAACACTGTCTACAGAGATGAGTGGAACAATTAGTGCTTTTAAGGCTATGTCTCTTAATTGAGTAATTTACCTTCCTTTTCTTATTTGTTTTCTTTGTTGAGTAAAAGGCAGCTGAATGTTAATGCTGTAGTTGATAAGGTACCGTCCTCCCCAGTGGAAATGATTGGCATCCCCAGTGCCGCTGCTCTGGGGTTTGCTGTTAGGATACTGAGGGGTTTCAGTCCTTTTTGTGCTAACCGTTTCCTCCCGTGGCGCTGTTTGGTTTGTAGCGGGATCCTGCCAGCAGAAGCTGAGCTGATGTATATCAATGAAGTCGAGCGTTTGGATGGATTTGGACAGGAGATCTTCCCGGTGAAGGTAACATGCCATCCCTGACTCTGTGTGTACATTTTCAGAGTTAATGTCATGGGCCAGAGTAGTTTCAGTGTCTTAGTGTCATGGGACATTAGTTGATGAGTTACTTACTTCCCCCCCCCCCGCCTCCCCCCCTCCGTGACTGGACAAGCAGCAGCTTAAAGGAAGAAGGTCAATTTTAGCTCACAGTTGAAGAGAATACAGTCTTTGGTGCTGGAGAAGGCACTGGGGCATCTGGTCACATTGCATAAGCAACCAGCTTGCAGAGTGAAAGCAGAGTGGGCTATGAAGCCTCAGGACTTGTCCCCAGTGACCCGGTGACCTATTTCCTCCAGCAAGGTTCTGCTACCTAAAGGTTCTGTAACCTTCCCAAACATCGCTACCAGCTGGTGATGTTGTTTTCTAACACGTGAGCTTGTGGGGGACACTTCCCATCCTAACCGCTGCAGTGTCAAGAACTCACTGTAGATAAAGAGAACACTTCTTAGCTCAGAGATTTGGGGTTTGATCTTCAGCAGATTATCTGCAGTTATAGGACATTCATCTAACTGAGTCCATACACCAGCACCCCTCACCCTAAGGTATGGAGGCCTGATGGGTCTTTCTTATGGCAAGACAAGTAGCCAGTGTACTGTGGATGTGAACAGAGGCTAGCTAGGGGATTTCCCCTTGTGTTTCTTCTCTCCACTCCTCTTTGGATGTGGGGGTGATTGCTGGTGAAGCAGATTAAAGCATCTCCAGCATGCAACCATGTCTTACTTCTCCAGCTCCACAGAGCTGTGTGTGGTGGGTGTTCTGTGGAAACCATGCCTAGGAAATCACTAAAAGCACCTCATATCCATTGTAAGAACCCACCTACCACAATGGGTGTGGCTGGGAGCATCATGGAGCCCAGAATCCAAAATCATTTCCCCCTCTCCACTGACCAATTCTTCAGAAGAGGGTGTTCTCTCAGACACCCAGTGCAGTTGGTGCATCCCAGTGATCTGGGTGACGGCTGTGATTTCAGTACTTCACTCTGGGCTGGCTCCACCGGCTGCTTTCTGTGCACGATCTGTTCCCGTTATGTTGCTTGCTTGCAGTTTGCCTTAATGAGAATGGCCTATGAGTGTCGAAGAGAATCAAGCGGGGTGGCTGCGTCTCGTGGTAAGGGCTAAATGGCTCTCTTTTAGGTTTGTTTAATTTTCTTCTGCTTCTGTAATGCCGCCCTTGGTAGGGCTGTAATCCATTTTTCTTTCAGTAATGCCTGGCGAGCCCATCTGCAGCCCACTCACAGCAGCTTGTATACAGTCATAGCATTTTGTGTCACTGGAAAAGCAGTCAACTTTTCTCTGTTTCTACCAGACCAGCTTCTCTGCCTGGAAGTTGGGGGTCTCACTGTTGCAACCATCTGCTTGCTTGTTTTTATTGTCCAGACTGGAGGAAGGGCGGCCAGTGAAGCTTGCACTGAAGTCTACTTTGTAGCGCGTCACTGGGTTCTTCTAGCAGGTTCTTCAGTGGTTTCTTCAGGACTTAGCTCCCTTCCTCAGAGTGGGAAGACCACAGTGTTTAATGACAATTTGGGATAACAATACCCTATTTAAAAAAAAAACAATCCTTAAGGCAGTAAAACATTTTCAGAAATTAAAAATATATCAGAAATAGGCTGGAGAGGTGGCTCCGTGGTTAAGAGCACTTGCTGCTCTCGCAAAGGACCCAGGTTTGGTTCCCAGCTTCTGAGAGATAGCTCACAGATGTCCTTAACTATCGTCCTAGGAACTCTGGTACCCTCTCTGTCTTATGTGGGAATCAGACATGCATACAGCACTCAGAGCAGGCAAATTTAAATTAAAATAGTGAATAAAATTAAATATTAAAAAGTGATATATTAGAAATGGAAGGTATTGGAGATTACAGGATGAAGTGGAGGGAAGCACCTCAAAGCTGACTCATGAAGGTGGGAGACAGGAGAGAGATTGATAGACCGCCTGGAATATTTACCATCTGAGCAATTCAGGGTCCGAAAAGAGGAGTCAAGGAAACACAGGGGAGCGCCTAGTGGGTGGGGCTACCCGAGGGCCTGAGGGACAGCACTGAAGGGTGCAGGGCTTGGACCCCAGTGGGATGAGTGAGATTTTACACAAACCCAAACGATATCCAGCTCTTCAAAGTATGTAGGTGGATAGTTTTTTTTCTTTAAAAGTAAATAAATACAATAAAAAGAAAGAAAAAAGGAAAACTAAAAATTTAGTAGAGCTCAACGAATTTGAGAAAAATCCTAAAATTGCCTCTAAATAGAATGTGGTAAAGAAAGATGCTGTCAGGGAGCCCTGCAGCCTCAGCACCGCTGCCTGCTGGCTAGGATGCAGCCAGCTCTGTTTCGTCACTCCATCCATGGGTTTGGTTTGTTAGGGTGACCTCAGGCAGACTGCAGACAAATGCTTAAGGTTGGTGCTGTCTCTTGCCTTGTTTCTGTATTTTTTTTAAGATTTATTTATTTTATATATATATATATATATATGTGAGTACACTGTAGCCGTCTTCAGTCATACCAGAAGAGGGCATCCGATCCCATTACAGATGGTTGTGAGCCACCATGTGGTTGCTGGGAATTGAACTCAGAACCTCTGGAAGAGCAGTCGGTGCTCTTAACCACTGAGCCATTTCTCCCGCCCTTGTGTCTGTATTTTTAAAACGACAAATTCGATGATATGTATTTTTCAGGTACAGAATCTATTGATATCTATGTGCATGTAGGACGGGGAGATCAAGCTAACTCACGTGTCATTTCACAGTCTTAGCTTTTAAAAAATTGATTAATTAGCCGGGTGGTGGTGGCGCATGTCTTTAATCCCAGCACTTGGGAGGCAGAGGCAGGAGGATCTCTGAGTTCCATGACAGCCTGGTCTACAGAGTGAGTTCCAGGACAGCCAGGGCTACACAGAGAAACCCTGTCTCGGAAAACAAAAAAAAAATTGATTGATTAATTAATTAATTAATTTATAGCTTTTGTCTTGGCCAGTATCTCCTCTGTTCTGCGTCTCCCACTCTCTGCTCTGATGAAGTCCACTCCTTCCAAGTGAACTCGGTGTCTGTCTCCCCATGCCTTTTCTCATTTCACTTAGAATCATGTATGCCAGAGTGTCTGATTTAAAGTTTGCACGGTATGCCACTCTGTGGTACATAGGTGCACGCCCCGCCCCACCCCACATCTCCCTCATTTGTCTCTCTCAGGCTGGATGACCCTAGCTACTGTGAATGATGTGGTAAGGTCACCGTAGTAACAGATGCCTTCTATTGATCTCCTGCAGGACAATCATGGCAACAGCATGCACCTCGGCATTTTCTTTATGGGGATTTTTGTGAGGAACAGGATCGGAAGACAGGCAGTAATATACAGGTAATCTGTTCCTCCACCTTCGCCTCAGAGGCTGTGGGCCAGTGACTGCTTTGCAGTGAGTCCAGAGCCACACCAGCCGGAGTGAGTTGCATTTTCTCAGTTCAGATGAAATTAACCGTCTTCAGGATTGACGGGGCTAGGGGAAAACGGATAGTGCTTTTCCTGGAGGCTCAACCTTCCTGACTACAGGGGATGTGCATTTCAAGTCACTGAGTCACTGGGGCAAACCTTGAGAGTGGGAAGAGCAGGCTCCGTAGTCAGTCCTGCCTTTGCCTTTGTTGGGACCGTCCCTGGCCATTCAGACCCAAACCACATTCTCCCCTGCACCCTCTGTCTGACCATTCACTGGGTAACCACAAACTAATCTTTATACTAACAAAAGGGGATTGATTGCCTATAAAAGTGTATCTCAGAATCACTCGGTCTGTGATAACTAATCAGTTTGAGTTTTTTTTTTCTTTATCTTGGGACTGGTTAGCCCTCTTTTCTGTTTAGTACAAGCAAGTCCTGTGCAGGGATGTGGTGACGGGCTCCTGCCCCACACCTGTCTTCCAGCTGGCTCTTTGCAGGGCTGCCTGTAGGCTCTGTCATGTATGCTCTTGTATACCAGGGCTGTGTGGCTCTGTGTTGATTGACAGAACACCATTCTTGTATGAGCCTCTGGTAAGTGTACCTGTGCATCTAGGGCAGGTGGTCAATGACAGTTGAAGCAGGCTAAGCCCCTCCTGGCCTGGAAGCTTCCAGCATAAGCTTTGTGGATCAGACAGAGCTGCGTTTTTTACAGTTTTTAAACCCAAACCATCCTGATTGACGTCTCTCACCCAGATCCCACTGTACCATTGTTTTATGGTGTCACCCTCTTGCTCTTTGAAGCTAGAATGAAGAGAGAGAGACCTTAGGACTTATTTAAGGGCTAGGGAACCATATGCTTAGATCACCAGTGTGTAGAAACATGTACAGCCAGTGGGCATTATTTTCTAAGATGGCACGGTGACTGTGCACACTGCAACACAACTTTACTACACTTTGGGGTCACTAAAGCATTCAGGGGAAAGTGCCTCGTCGGTGGGAAACTTGGGGGGAAGGTGACAAGAACTTTCCAGGTTTTTCTTTTAGCCACCGATAAGGAAAACAACATTTCAGGAATGTCACTATGCAGGTATAATCGAAATCAAATTGTTGCCTGTGTGAGTTGGGACCTATTTGCATTTCTTTCCCTTTTTCTCTCTTGAGAGGTAGAATATTTAAGCTTTTGTTAGAAAGAAAGAATAGCTAAATCATAATCGCAAGATGAGACCCTTCTCGTGGAACACGTGGACCATCTTAGAGTAAGCCTCGTGACATTTCTTTGGCCCAGGTGGAATGACATTGGGAGTATTACCCACAGCAAAGCAGCCATCCTGCTGGAGCTGATTGACAAAGAGGAGACCGCGCTCTTCCACACAGTGAGTCCAGGGTTCTGCACAGCCTGAGGGAGCATATTTTAAGCTAACAACACCCGTTCCTGTTTCTCCATGTCCTAATATGTGCCTGTTCAGCCTTTTGATGGTGGGATACACTGTTATCATGTACAAAGTATACACTCAAGGACTGTATAATCAAGTCACACACACACACATGCACACATACATAGGCACACACACACACATGCACAGGACACACACACACACCTTATCTTGTCAGTGCATTCCTAGGTATCCTGGGGCCCATGCAACCCTTGGTAACATTTTGGACACTCCTGTCCTCCACAAAAGACTCAATGCTCTTGAAGACGTTCTTTCTAATGCTTGCCTGGTCTCACGTGACTTCTTGCAAGTGATGAATGTTCCCGATGGCTTTGAAATAAGATTCAAGTTTGTCCAGCATGCCACGGCACCCTGGTCACAATCTGCTTCCTCATGTGACTCCTAGTTATGTCAGATTGCATTTTCTGTTGCTGACTGACCTGGATCTTTCAGCCCCTCAGCCCACGCTGTCTGGAGTCAGTTGACCCTCTCTCTGAGGACCTTCTCAGGAGCCAAGGCTGTTCGCCTTCACTACAGTCTCTGGTTGAATGACATTAGGGTTAGTTGTAGGCTCTGCCTGGATTTGGTTGTTTTGAAAGTTCTGCTTTAGAATTATCGAGAAGCTGTCAGTTCATCGCTGCAGAACCAGGATCTTTGCTGTGAAGAATTCATTAACCGACGGTCATTTCTACCATCTTTGCTGGGCCACAGTGGCATGGGCACCATTGAACTCAATGGTTGAGTCACTCCCTTGCCCACTTGTTATTTATTTATCTTTTTTCACACGAAAAGGGACAGGATGGATGCCTGTACGGAACAATCTTAGTGAAGCAAATATCTAGTCAAACACGTGTTCATTTCTCCATCTCTTCCTTTTCAAGGACGATATTGAAAATGCCAAGTATGTCTCCCGGTTGTTTACCACACGGCACAGATTTTACAAAGAGAACAAGATCTGCACCGAGTAAGTGACTGTCTCTCGCTCTCCGTGTCTCTGAACGGCGCAGCCCTATTAAATTGAGTGCCTCAGTGAGGTTGTGGTCCCCGGTTTCCATTCATTCTTTCCCCTTGATCCTTCTAGAAACCGTAGGAAGAGACTAAAGGCAGTCAGGAGGGAGAGACGTTTAAGTGCAGTCTACTGCAATCCATGTGCCTAGAGAGACAATCGTTCCCAAATTGACTGTAAATGTTTAACTTCCCGGATGGGTGGGCCACATCAGTGCCTTTTCGGCACTCGACTCTGGGTTCGGAAGAGTCTAAGTGCTCCCAATTTGCCCAGGTGCCCCTCCGTGTTCGATGCGGATGATATTCACAAGTGGGGAGCGGCGTGATGAGCCAACTTAAAAGAGAAGATGCAGTCGCCGGCTCGGCCTGTTTCCGCTCACAGTTGGCTAACCCTGCGTGCGCTCCTGGGTCATGCCATCTGACTGCAAATGAGAGGCCAGGGTAATTAGAGGGGGATTTGGAAGGCACTCCGAGATGGCACGCATCTGTGTGTCTTTTTAATTTAGTTCAGAAATAAAGAGGATAAGTCTGAGTCTGATTGGGGGCACTTCCTCGTGGCCTGACCTCGGAGATGGCGTGCCGGGGGCCCAACTCTGCCAATGCCTTTACTTTGGTTGCTTTCAAAAGGCGGTCCTCAGCAGAGCGCATTTGCCGCTTGGGCCCCCAAGGTGTTTAATTTTGGTTCAAAGAGCATTGGAGATGTAAATTCCAGAGAGAGGCTGTCTTCCCACTCCCACAGTGGGCATATCCAAGCAGGGTAGAATATTGCTGTTCAGAGGTGCCACTAGAGAAGGCAGACACTCAGAACTGGATCCCCAGGTCATGGCAGTCTTTTTTCTTCTTCCATGCCCAACAGCCTCTTTCAAATCAGGCTGTGCAGTTGGCCACTGCTAGGGCCTAAGAGTACAGCTCATTCGTCTCATAGTCCAGGCCTACCAGCAAAGATAGGAAAGATGCGTTAGCAGGCCAAGCAAGGGCATAACCTTGTCTTCTACAGACACACTATCATATTTGCCCCACGAATAGAGTTCTATTCTGCTTTTGCCTTTGAATTTGCCTGGTGGCCTTGACACCCCTCAAGAGTTCTGTAGCTGCTTCTGTGTGGTGGATATGAGCCCTCTTCATAGTTCCAATCTTCTGGTTAGGCTGTTTCTCAGCAAATGTTGTCATTGCTGTGTTTGTGCTTAGTGTGTCTTCTGTGGTCTGTGTTGAACAGCATGTGTGATGCTGAAAATCAAGAACCCTGTTCTGGGGGAACCCTGCGAGGAAAGCACATACATCTCATCTTCCCCCCCTCCCATACACACTGAGCTCTGCGGTCAACGGTATCCCTCCAGAGTTTTCCAAAAACTTGAACTGTCTCAGCAGCCTCCTTCTCCATCCAGGACTGTCCACTCACGGGCCACTCGGGTTTGTCCTGCTGTATTTGCTTCTGCAGAACTGGTCCTTGCCAGCTGGATGCCTTACTCCAGGGTTCAGTTGCTGCACCTTTGACCTGGGGAGGAAAAGTTGGAGGACCATGCTTAACTTAGGGATGCTAACACTGAACCTGCCCAGCTGTTAAAAGCTCAACAGTACTGCATTTGTCTCCGTGGTTTCACCAGAGCAAAGATATTTATCAGCAAGCTGGTAGAAGGTTGAAGTCTCCAAATAAGGAGAGTCTTTCCTTGAGGAACTGTAGCCCAGTCAAAAGTCTGTATTTTGTTTTAAATACCATGTGGTCCTGGGAGCTCCTGATTTCTGCTCTCAAGGATGGATCCCCTCTGTCCCTGCTCTGTTCACCTCTCTGTGATTGTTGTTTAATTATAGGGTGCTCTCTCTGTAACAGACTTGCTGGGTTGGGGACATATCTCAGTTATGAAATATTTGCCCAGTGTTTACTGGCTTTGACCCCCTTGCATTAGAACAGAATTTAAAGCAAACAGATAAAGACATCTGGCTTGGTAAACATTTGCAGCATGCACTATCTTTAATGGGATCAAAATGAAAAATATTTTCTCTAGTTTAGAATTATATTTAAATTGGAAGCATTTGAAAAATATTTTTATTATGCACACAGGTACACATTGAACACTTTTAAAAGTCCTCATGCAGTGAAGTCTTCTAGTCTTTATTTCTCTCATGTTATTTTTATGAAATAAGCCTCATTCCCCCAGTAATAGTGAGGAAAGGATTACAGGAAAATCCTGAACATTTTGAGGATAAAAGGAGAATGACAAAACAGTTTATAGTGTCTATGTGCAGGTGTGAACTGTGTGTGGCAGGTGTGAACTGTGTGTGCTGTATGTTCAGATGTGAACTGTGTAGGTTGTGTATGGAGATGTGAACTGTATGTGCTGTTGGTGTATGTTATGTGTGGAGGTGTGAACTGTGTATGTTACGTGTGGAGATGTGAACTGTATGTGCTGTTTGTGTATGTTGTGTGTGGAGGTGTGAACTGTGTATGTTCTATGTGGAGGTGTGAACTGTATGTGCTTTTTTTGTATGTTGTGTGTGGAGGTGTGAACTGTGTATGTTGTGTGTGGAGGTGTGAACTGTATGTGCTGTTTGTGTATGTTGTGTGTGCAGGTTTGAACTGTGTGCTGGGAGGCAGGCCTTATTGGTCTAGCCTGTCCCCTCCTTGGCCTCCCTTGTATTTCTGACCTTTTCTTTTCATCAACAATAATGATGCTTCTCATTTTTAATCTTTCATATATAGACAGTCAAATTCTCCACCCCCAATCAGACGCCAGCCCACCTGGAGCCGATCCTCACTGGTGAGTACACTCCTCAGTCAGTGGTCTGGCTGTTGGCGTAAAGGTTTGTGTTATGGAATTGAGGGGCTGTGACTAAGGGTGCTATGACCAGGAGAGATTTGCTGGAAGTATAGAAGGACATCATTCACTTGCTGGAGGTGAGGTAAGTATCCACTGTGTCTTGCTCTTCCATGGACACCTCCCTCCTCTCTACATGGAGTTTGAGGTGCTTACTCCAGGCCAGAGTAATCGTCCCTTTGGACCATTTGCTTATCTTTCTGGTGACATGTCCCAGTTGTAAGTGCCACAGATAGAGCCTAGCAAACCAGCCAGAAAATGCTTTTTAAATGAACCGCAACCAGGACTCTTTGCAAGGGTAGCTGGGATGAATTTGCACCAAGGTAGCAGCTGTAGTAGCCGCAGTTCCATCTCCGATTCCACGATGTTGCCCTTGGCCAAAAACGCACTAAGCCGTCTCCAAGTTCGAAGCATTCAGCAAGTGGTGGCAAGGCAGAGCCATCAGAAGAGGACACCTAATTTCCATGATAGATATGGAAATGCTATGTTAGCAGGTGGAGGCATCTTCTGTATATCTACATGGACATATGCAGCCACACAAATTGGAATAGAATGGAATCTGTCCCCTGTTGGCAGGATCACCCCAAAGGAATGGAGAGATCAGTAGTCACGTCAGCTGGTACAAGAATCAAGGAATTGTTTCAAAACTAACTCATAAGTGAATGCCAAGTCAAAGAGTCATATACTCATTAAACTATGGCAGACTGAAGAACTAATAAAGAAATAAAGTACTTGAAACCTTCAAAAAAAAAAAAAGAACCGCAACCAAACAACAGGCTCAGTATAGTGAACAGAGAGATTGGATGGGACATTTCCTGATTCCCAGACTTTAGTCAATCAGCCTCTGCCTTCGGCTGGTTTTCTTACTTGTTAAGGCTGTTCTCTTTCCTGGTGACATGGCCGGGAAGCACAGCTGTGGTCCTGCTGTAGGCTCTTCATGTTTAAAGATTACATAAGGGTCACAGGATAGAGCTGCACTTTCTTTTCTGCTTCTCTTGTCACAGCCCTTTGAGGTGTGACTTTTTCAGATAGAACAAACACGTGGCCTTCCTACTCTGCTGCATGTACAGGTCCCTGAAGTCGATAGACAGGAACACTAAAGGGAAGTTGTATTCCTTTTCCAACAGGTTCCTTGCCTGTCTTCCCTCTTAGAAAGTTTGGAGAACATTCCCCTACCCCCCACCCCTGAGAAAGATCATTAACACAGACTCTTAGAATTCTAGAGCTGAGCCACATGGGAATTCCTAACCCCGTGTGGCTGTTGCTGATGTCGGTGTGACTCTGTCTCTGCCTTGTGGTCCTCTGCTTTGGTGATCTGGAAGAATCTTCTGTGTCTTCTCTGGGAGCACAGAGCATTTGCTCATGCACTGGTCACCACTCTCCGTTGTTACCGCTGCCTTCCTTTTGTCTGCATCTCCTGTTCTTGCCAGTGAGATCAAGTGTCATTTGTACCTGTGAACTATGACAGACCCCTATCTTGGGCAATCTTGGGATCCACAGAGCCTCCCATTTTTACTTGATAAGGTGGTCCACAGGGATCTGGATTCTAAGGTCTCCCTGAACTGACTATGGAATCTTAATGGTCCTTGTTGATAGGCATCTTGGCTTCCTTGCCAGTCTGTCTTTCTCTTTTATGATGCCCGTTCTCATGGTTATTTATTTATTCATTCATTTATTTATTTATGTCAAGTTGACATAAACCACTGGATATATCTGATACACAGAGTCTCATCTGAAAACTTGTCTCCATCACATTGGCTTTGGCATGTCTGCAGGGCATTTTCTACATTGCTTATTGATGTCAGAAGGCCCAGCCCACTGTGGGCGGTGCCATTCATGGGCAGGTGGGTCTGGGCTGTATAAGAAAAGTAGCTGAGCAAGCCAAAGGAAGCCAGGAAGCAGTGTTCCTCCATGGTCTCTGTCTCAAGCTCCTTCATCTTCTCAGGGGACTGTGACCTTTAATCAGATACTTTCATCCCCCAAGTTGCTTTTGGTCATGGTATTTTTATCAGAGCAATAGAAACCGAAGTAGAACATCTGTGTTGTGGATTTTATTTCTGTATTAGCCGATCTGAGAAAATTATTAGAATGAATGAATAAATAAATAAATAAAAATAATAGAATAGAATACCTTGGGCAGAAGAGCATTTGCCAAACATGTAAAAGGTGGGTGACCTTAGGTGCATCTAGCTCAACACTCTCCCGTCACAAAAAAGAAAAGAAAGAAAGAAAGAAAGAAAAAAAGAAAGAGGAAAAAAATAAATTGACTATTATTGGCTTTTCACTATAATCTTAGCACACTTCATAAAGCCACTTATTAATTTGTTTTAATAGAAGCAGGAGGCAGCCATAGCCAAGCTCTGCTTCTGTTTTTGATGTCCTTTTGTCCCCATTCTCTCTCAGTAAATAAAGCAGACAGCCCATACCCACCGAAGTGGACAGTCCATACCCACCGTGGGAAGTTTTGGTTGATTTATGTGTTGTCAACAAAGGGGAGAATACTTTGAAACTGCAGTCTCTAAGACCATCCACCAGGACTTATGGGATACTCAGAAGTTCCAGCTCCCCTTCGCACCCAGAGTTCTCTCAGTTCCTCCCAATGCTTCTTTCCTCTCTGATTCCTTTTGGCATTTAGATCCCCTGTTTTCATATCCTTCCTTGTTACCCACTTGGTGGCTTGAAACTCAGTATGTGGACCAGGCTGGCATTGAAGGCACACAGATCCACCTTCTTCTGCTTCCCAAGTACTAGGATTAAAAGTGTGTGCCAACAAGCCCAGCTTCTGAATCAGTTATCTTGAGATCAGATCTATAAGGCTAGCAGAGCTAGGGACACACTGTCCTCTCTGGTGCTTTATATATACTAATACCCTCCACCACCACTCTCACCCCCCCCCCCCAGACACACAAGAAGTATGCCCTCTTCTGCAGCAGGAAGTGGTTCAAACTGGTCTAAACAGCCGCATTTAAGACTCAGTGGGAGAGATATTCTGCATTGGCTCAGAGGGTATCCTTACTGCCTGGCCAATGCCACATTTGCTTCTGCAGTGCCATTGACACTGTGGGTATCACATATTGGACTCTTATGTAAACTCGCCACTGGATTATGCTGAATGCAGCCCTGACCCTACAGGAGCTTCCTGTGGTGCTGTAGACTGGGACCATGGGCTTATGTGGTGTAAGGAAGGTGTGGACCTGGGAGGGAGCCAGTTTTGGACAGAACAAAGTAAATTTCCTTCTTTCTGTTTCTTTGATGGGTGCATCTCTTCTGATGACATCTGTTACAAAGGCCAGTGCTTGAGAGCATCAAATGGCTGCTCTTGACTTTGGGTGGATGGCCTCTTTTTCTCTCTGGCCTTGAGCCACTTTTTGCTGCCCTGAGCTTCACGACCAGATGGGAGCTTAGGTCTGTGGAAGAGGGTGGGTCAGAAGGGCGGCCTACAGTGACGTAGTGTGTTTCCCTGGGTATCATTGGGGTGGCTTCCTGGCATGTCCAACTCTGTTTTCTCTGTTTCAGCCAAGACAGCAGCCGTATATCCTGCCTCCCATGCATGTCCAGTGCAGTGAGCACTACTCAGAGACCCACACTTCCCAAGGTAACTGTAGCTCCTCCTTCTGCCTCTTAAACACAAAAGACTGGGTCCTAGGGCACAGCACAGAAGCTTGCTTGAAGATGTCAGTGATGGTTTGATAGTAACACTGTCATTGTCTGATCTTAGTGGCTACATTGTCATTGTCTCATCAAGGTGGCAACATTGTCTAATCACAGTGGCAACATTGTATCATTGTCTGATCACAGTGGCTACACTGTCTTTGCCTGATAAGGGTAGCAACATTGTGGTTGTCTGATCACAGTGGCAACATTGTCATTGTCTGATCACTCAGTGATGATCTTCATTCAGCACACCTGCTGTCTTGGAAGAAGCGTGCCCCACCCCGCCCCACCCCATGCCAAGTGGAGGCTGCGTTACTGTTTCCTCCCCTACGACCCATTCATAGTGGGCCAGCGTTGGAGATGGACAGCTCAGTCATCTCACACGCACACACTTCACCCTCAGTGTCAACGCCAGCAGCTTGGAGCAGCCACGTGGTGATGGGGTGACTGGGAGAAACTCACCCACATCACATAGTGCTTTTCTTAGTCTCCCTTCTGGACCTTTCACCATGCACAGGGACAAGAATGAGCATGAATCCAGTGGTCATGAGATGTCGGGTGGCGGGCTGGGGACTCCGTGTTGTCTCATTTGATCCCAGTAATAAGCCTGAGCTACTACTGTTTCCATACAGAAATAGAGAGAGAGATGGTATCATTCAGATATCAAAACACACACACTCTGTCTCTGTCTCTCTCACTCTGTGTGTGTGTGTGTGTATCAGCATGGTAGGTACACATGCACATCTCTGTGTGTGTGCTCATGTGCCTGTGCCTGCATGCACATGCATCTGCACATGTAGGAACACACACATCTTGTGTGTATAGGCTAGCGGTTCATGCTAGTAGGTGTTTCTCTTCCAGTCACTTTCACCTTTTGAAACACCTTTTGACACTAAACTTGTCACTCACTAGTTAGCTAGATCAGCAGTGAGTGGATCCACCTGTCTCCAGTTTCCCAACCGCACAGTGGTGGGGTTACAGACACTAGTGGCCACACCTAGCATTTTTGTATGTGTGCTGAAGATCCAGACCCTAGACCTTCACTTCCACCTGAGCCCTCACCCCAGCTAAGTTCACTTTATCTCTTTTATCAGCAAACCATTAAACTCTTATCTCTGAGCTGACTACATCTTTAAAATGACATTGGAAAACCTTACATCCTGCATAGTGTATGAGTCACAGGTGTCTGGTACCCTCTCCTAGCTATTCGGAAGCTGCTGCAATTTCAAGGCCGGAGCATGAAACCTAAAACAAGACCATTTAGTGTGATCATACTTTTTATAAACAGCTTAGCAGAGTTACCCCAGGTCTGTGGGAAGACAGCAAACCCCATCGGAGGTGGATAAGTCCTCACACCTTGCTCTTCCTGTTTCTTCTGCCTTGATTAATTTTGTCTATACTTCCTTTCCAGATAGTTGGGGTTGTTTTTAAAGATTTATTTCTTTAACTGTATATGAACATATATTGTATATGTATATGAGTGCTTACATGTGTATAATGATATATAAATCATTTAATATAGTATTTGAATGATATACTGTTTGAATGCAATGCCCACTGAGACCAGAAGAGCATGACAAATCCTCTAAAACTGGGCTTACAACAGTTGTGAGCATACATATGGGTTCTGGGAACCAAATCTGTGGACTCCGCAGCCAATCCAGTCCCAGTTGGATGCTGGTGACCAAGGTCCTCTTCTTCATCTTTCCTTTGTCTCCCCTGCTCAGAAAAGTGTATCAGCAGAAGAATGGCTTCCTAGTGTGTTTGTGTGTATGTGAGAGGCACTTCGGGTATCCAGAGTGGGCCTGACTTAGAAACTGGCTTTTGTTAATTTTTGAGTTGGGAGGTGACTCAGTAGTTGTCTTAGTTGAGGTGTCTATGATAAAACACCATAACCAAAAGCAACTTGGAGAGGAAAGGGTTTATTTCAGCTTATAATCCTCAGGTCAGACTCCATCACTGAGGGAAGTCAGGACAGAAACTCAAGGCAGGAACTAAAGCTGAAGCCATGGGGGGGGGGCGCTGTTTACTGGCTTGTTTCTCATGGCTTATGCATCTTACGGCCTCTTTAGACCATCAGGGTGGCACATCCACAGGACGCTGCCCTCCCACAGTAATCACAACAATGCTCCATAGACTTGCCAGTCAGATGGAGGCATTTTTTAGATTGCCATGTCTTCTTTCCCATATATAATGTTGACACAAAGGCTCAGCAGTAGAGCAGTTAAGTCATTAGCTGTGCAAGAGTGAGGGACTCAGACTCACACAGATGCTAGGTGAGGGTGTTAACCCAGCTGAAGTCTGGACTTGGCAGCAGAGGTGGGAACACCTGAGCAAGAGGACTAAGGAGACTAGTCGATCCAGAGTCCTGCCTGAGTGGATGAAATACAAGAGTGACCAGGGATGCTTCTCAGCACCATCGTTCCTTCATGTGAATGCATACATATGCCCCCACACACATGCATGCTCCCACATACATGCATGCCCCCACATACATGCATGCTCCCACATACATGCATGCCTCACATACGCACATGCCCCCACAAACATGTATGCTCCCATAAACATGCATGCCCCCACATACATGAAAGTCCTGCACAAACAAGTATGCCCCATAAACACACATGCACACACATTTATGCATGCCTCCACAAACATGTATGCTCCCACAAACACACATGCCCCCACATACATGAAAGGCCCCACAAACATGTCAAGCACATATGTCCCCACAAACACATGCCCCCCAAACACGCATGCACCCACATACATGCATACCATGAGTACACATGAAAACAGCCTTTATTGCTCTTTCTTTTAGCTTTTGTTTCTTTTTAAGGGAAGTAAGCTTGATGATGGAGGTGGAGGGCAGTTTCAGGAGCACCTCGAAAAGCTCTTGATTCTGACTCTGCCGTTCACGGGCTGCTGCTCAGAAACCGCGGCCGCGTTGGGCCATGCTGTTGGTCATGCTGCTTTCTGAACGCTCAACGATCTGTTAGGTTAAGAGCCCTTTTCTGATGTAGTCAGAGACATCGATTCCAAGGGTAGGGCAGCTTCAAGCCTATTGCTCTATTAAACCTTTGACTTCCTGGCCCAGATATCCGGTTCTGCACAAGAGGCCAGTTCTCCCCAACAAGTGGCTCATTGTTTGAATCTAATTATAGCAAAGTTTCGACTGTGCCTAGGCGACAGCCACCCTGCACACTTTCTTCCCAGTATGCTGTGACATGTTCTATGCATGTTATCCCAAAGAACAGTTCTTTTTGCCATGTGTGACTGAGGGTTAAGACTCTGCCCTTTCAGTAAGTCACTCCAGGGACATAGGGATGACTCTGTTGGAACAGGGTGGTGTGTGTGGTGCTTCACGAGACTCTGTTTGACTTTTTGCAGACAGCATCTTCCCTGGGAATGAAGAAGGCTTGTACTGCCATTCTCACAACAGCCTGGACCTAAATTACGTCAACGGCACGGTCACCAATGGCAGTGTGTGCAGCGTTCACAGCGTCAACTCCCTCAGCTGCTCCCAGAGCTTCATCCAGGCGTCTCCAGTGTCTTCCAACCTCAGCATCCCTGGGAGTGACATCATGAGGGCCGACTACATCCCCAGCCACCGCCACAGCACCATCATCGTGCCGTCCTACAGGCCGACCCCAGATTACGAGACAGTCATGCGGCAAATGAAGAGGGGACTGATGCACGCAGACAGCCAGAGCCGGTCTCTGCGTAACCTCAATATCATCAACACCCATGCCTATAACCAGCCCGAGGAACTGGTGTATAGCCAGCCTGAGATGCGGGAGAGGCATCCCTACACGGTCCCATATGCACCCCAGGGGGGCTACGGTCACAAACTTATTAGTCCATCTGACCAGATGAACCCCCAAAATTGTGCAATGCCTAGCAAGCCAGGAGCCAGCTCCATCTCACACACAGTGAGCACTCCAGAACTAGCCAACATGCAGCTCCAAGGAGCACAACACTATAACACAGCCCACATGCTCAAGAACTATCTCTTCAGGCCGCCACCCCCTTACCCTAGGCCCCGCCCTGCCACCAGCACCCCAGACCTCGCCAGTCACCGCCACAAGTACGTCAGTGGCAGCAGCCCCGATCTGGTAACTCGGAAAGTGCAGCTCTCCGTAAAGACCTTCCAGGAGGACAGCTCTCCTGTGGTCCATCAGTCTCTGCAGGAGGTGAGCGAACCCCTCACAGCCACCAAGCACCACGGTGGTGGCGGCGGCGGCGGCATGGTGAATAAACGCCACAGTCTTGAGGTGATGAATAGCATGGTGAGAGGCATGGAGGCCATGACGCTGAAATCACTCAATATCCCCATGGCTCGTCGCAACACGCTTCGGGAGCAGGGCCCTTCCGAAGAGGTGGGTGGCCCCGAAGTGCATGGGCTCCCCCAGTATCACCACAAGAAGACGTTCTCAGATGCCACCATGCTGATACATAGCAGTGAGAGTGAGGACGAGGAGGAGGCCCCGGAGGCAGCACCTCAGATTCCTGCTCTGCGGGAGAAAGTAGAATACAGTGCTCAGCTGCAGGCTGCCCTGGCCCGAATTCCCAACAGGCCCCCACCTGAGTACCCAGGGCCAAGAAAAAGTGTCAGCAATGGAGCACTGAGACAGGACCAAGGGACCCCCATTCCTACCATGGCCAGGGCCAGGGTACTGAGACACGGACCAGCCAAGGCCCTCAGTGTCTCCCGGGCCGAGCAGCTAGCTGTCAACGGGGCCTCTCTGGGTCCTTCCATCTCTGAGCCTGACCTAACCAGCGTGAAGGAGCGGGTCAAGAAAGAGCCTGTGAAGGAAAGGCCGGTGTCAGAGATGTTCTCCCTGGAGGACAGCATTATAGAGAGAGAAATGATGATTAGGGTGAGTGCCCCCACTCCCGGGTCACTGACGGTAGGAAGCCCCGGAGCTGGAGACCTGGAGGAGGGAGGCTTCAGGGAGTGTTTCGGGATTTAAGGGATTGTGAGGATTTCAGTCAAGAGTGATGATGTCACCAGATGTCAGGGATACTTTTTCAAATAACACCTTCTGTCTCACTGTCATTCCTGGCTTGTGGTTGGTGTACTTGGTACGAGGACATCTTAGTCATTGGGTAGGGTCCTGAGGAGTTTCGCTGCTGGGCTCTAGTCCCCGTCAGATCTGCTCTATGAGAAGCTCACATACGTGTGCACATGCATCGTGCATGCACACATACTACACATGAAGATACCCTGCTACGTTGATGTTACAGATAACCCTTCACTGGGATGCACCCAGCCTAGAAAGCTAGTTCTGTTGTTGGGGCGAGACCACATGGTGATAGATGTGTATGAACAAGAAAATAAACACCTCTTACAATGAGAATATTGTTGGATTGTAGTTGCTGCTGGGAAAAAAAATCCCCCGTTACTGCTTTTCCTGGAAATCCTGGCCTCCTTAAAAAGTCATTCAATTATGTAACTAACTGAGCCAGTGGACTTCGTTTCCATTGATCACAGCTGCACTGTCAGGTCGTTGGCTTTCACTTAGGAACTCTGGGAGACTCGTTCTATTACATTTGCTTTATTGGAGGTCATTCGACTCATGGCTACGCCTTCCAAACTCATCATTGGGAATCAACCCAGAGGGAGGAAGTGAAGGCCAGTTTTCCAGAAGCCACACCGCTGGGTTCAGAAATCAGATCCAACCTTGTTACTTTAGAAGAGCCTGAAGGTGGTTCAGCCCTGAGGTTCTGGTGGTCAGCAGGGTGGAGGAGACATCCAGGGGCAGCATGGGTGGACTTGATACTTCTTCCTTTGCAGATGGAGAGGGAGATGGTAGACTTTGTACCTGTGCCTCTGGGATTTAAAAACAACACAGCTTTGGCTGGGGATGGCGTGAAATGCGGGGGTGGGTACCATGAGGAGACAGCTTTCCCAGCTTGGAAAAAAGTAATTCATTGGTGTAAAGTGGTGTTTCAACACTTCTTGGCTCCAGGCCTCCTAAGGGCTGCATTTGCTTCAGGAATCCATCGCTGTGAGCACTGAGCTTCGAGGTCAGCCCTGCCAATGGTTGAGACTTACCAATGTCCACATGGTCTTGTAACTGCATCTTGGCCATCCGCATCCTCTTATCCAGATTAAACAAATAGCCTGCAGCCCTGACTCTGGTGCTGGTCCTCGCTCAGAAGCATCACACAAACCAAGAAAGAGCAAGGTGGTGATTTCTGCCGGTCCCCTCTCCCAGTTCTGTTTTATTCCAGGATTCTGGATCATTCCACCTGGCAGATTTCACCAGTAAGCTTACAGCTCAAGAACATGACTGCCCATGTCTACATGCCTTCCCGTTTGACCCTGTGATCTAGCCGCATACAACTAGGAGTTCACAGGCCACTCCCCTTGCTCAGTGTCCCAACCTCAGAGAAAAACCAGGAGGTCAAGGAAGAAGGCCATCCCTGCCGGTGGCTCTAACACCCAAGATGACTCTTGAAGTCTGTGTACTCACTGACCTAGGGAAGGTCTGCTCAGCTTCCATACTCCTCGGTATATGGAGAGGAGGGAAGAAGGCTCCTGTAGCCACAGCAGACCCCCTTACTAATCGGAGAGAGAAACCTCAAGCCCTGGGGACTGGAGTGCGAGGGGTGGGTATAGGGAAAGTTCAGTCACTTCTTGTGTGATGAATGGTTCAGAATGCTGCCATTAGGGCCTGTGTTTTGACCCTGCTACCACCTTGAAGACACTTCTCACCTTCTAGCCTCAAGCCGGGAGTCCAGTGCAGAGAGGAGAGAAAGCCAACTCAGGCCTTCTAGTTTGATTTAGAAATGATTGACAGCTTGTGCCTAAGAGGCCAGTTCACTTATCACTGTATCCAGTTCTCTCCAGGGAGGGCGTGAGCCTTTCCCAGGGATGGCTCTCCCTGCCCTCTGGAGGCAGAAGTGGGAGGCTTGCTTACAGGTTTGAGGACACCCAGGGAGACATAATGAGACCCTGTTTCAAAATGAAATCACCACCAAACATTTGAAGCATTTCAAAATCCAACGACAAGAGAGGACAGGAGAGAGTTACCTTTCACAAAACTGAGCTAACGAGCAAATAAATCCAAAGTCATCCCGATGGCCTGCTTGGTATAGAGACGCCAAGGCCGTTCTTGTGGTCCCACAACCAACCTTCAGCTGCCCGTCATATCCTCATGGCTAGCCCTCCTCTCCAATGCACCCTTGGCTGTCCGTGGTTCAGCCTGTCATTTGAGTAGTTGTCCTGTTGGTAGCATCCCTCACAAAGGCTTCCCACGCATTGTAGGTAACACCGTGGTGGCAATGAGGCCCATTCGAGGTTGTCCCTGCCACCCCACCCAAACCTTCTCCAACAGCATGGCTCCATCAAGACACCTCCAGGAGTTAATAAACAATAAAATAAGAAACCAGGCTACCACTCCATCCCTAGGACTCACAGGAATCTACAGACTGGCATTGCTTCAGGTCACATCCAAGTGTTCTCCACATGGGTCCCTAAATGTCTAAGATTAAATGGTTTTCAAGAGTAGGCTGCTTAGCAGTAAACAGGATTCCACACCCCTACTGATGCCAAGGACTCAAGGGTGTCCAACAGTGGACCCAACATCCAGTCCTGACTACACCAAGTTCAGCCTAAAGATGAGGGGGAGCCAGAACTCAGCAGTCCACACTCCAGTCAAAACCTCCAGTGATGGAAAGTAGTCACAGTCCTTTGTTAGCCCTAGATGAGCAAAGGCCTGGTGGTTCTTCATCTGTGGTCAGCCTGGCGTGGTGGTGATCTTGTTAAGCTGTAGTGGGCCCTGTTATGAGGTGGGCAAAGCAGATGTCTTGGGGGCAGGGAGTAAGTGTAAGACTCAGGTCTTCAGTCTGAGCCCCTCAGAGTGGTTTGCCTTTTGCTGGTGTGTATGGCACTGGTGTGTGTGGCACTTATGTGTGTTAATCAACATGGTAGCTGGCAGGTTTTATACCATTAGTCAGTGCGAAAGGCTTGTCCTTGGGAGGGACTCCGATGGTCCGTCCGTGACTTCTCTGTTTTCTTTCTCCTGTCTTCAGCCTGTAGTTTTCTAAAGTGTATTGCATGAACCCCCTTTTTGTTCTCTTGCAACACCCCTGTGGCAAGGTATATTTGTTAGGGAGTCTGTCTTTATCTTTCTAACATATGAGTTAATTAAGAATAAAAGCCCTGGGGTCCTGTAAGAACTGGCTTCCCTGGGCATGATGGGAATAATGGGAAGGCTGTGTTTGAATTTGCCCTGCTAGTGGCGAATGTCTGCATTCCTTGGCTGGGGAGTTACAGATTTGGGGAGATTAAAACACATTCCAGCCTTCCCCTGGAATTATAAACAATGAGAACGTGTCTTTTCTTGCCGAAAGAATCTAGAGAAGCAGAAGATGATGGGCCTGCAGGCACAGAAGAGACCGCTGATGTTGGCAGCGCTGAATGGACTCTCAGTGGCCAGAGTCACGGGGCGGGAAGACGGTCGCCATGATGCCACTCGCGTCCCTATAGACGAGAGGGTGAGTTCTGGACTTGTCAGGTGTGACCTGTTCTCTGTGCATCCAGATTCCAGAAGTTCCTCTTAGGCCTGGACCTGTCAGTGCTACTTGTCTTGCGGGTTAATTCTTTCACTTGAAGAAGACTTGGTCCAAGTGTGCTGTGTTAGATCCGACCCTTTCCAACATCGCCTGTTTCCTCATTCTGGTCTCTGCACTTTATGAAGCTGAGATATTGATGCTTGATTAAAAAGTCTAGCCCTAGGGAAGGTGAGGCGGCTCAGTGGGTGTAGGAGCTTGCTGCCAAGTGCGATGACCCGAGTTCAGTCCCTGGGACTCACATAGTGGACAGAGCGAGCTGTCTTCCTCAGGGTGTGCTCTGACCTCCACACAGCTTGCTCCCCTCCCCCACATAAACAGTAACAGCAAAGGACATCTCCACCAGGCCACGTGAGGTTGTCAGTTCCTCACTATTCTTCAGTCATAAGGAGGTGATGTAATTATCAATTCTGTATGCATTTTGTAAGATTTGTCTATTTATTAAGGACAAATGCAAATTTGCCCTCTGATGTGATGGACATACTTGCTTTCTTCACACAGTTGAATCCAAATATGTACTTGTTTTAGACCTACTGAAGGCTCATGGGGGAAATGCTTAAGAAAAAAGTCTTTACTTTCTACAATGAAACCATTAAGCTTCTGAAACTACAGAAAACCTTTTTTGTAAGATGAGAAAGTTAATTCTCCAAGTGTCATACTCTTTGGTTTTAGGTTTTAGGGTTCCTGTGGTCTTCTTCTTCAAGGACTGCAAAGATGATATGGCCCATAGCCCTTTGGTTAGGTATTGAGAGCCGTGATTTCTTACTGTGGTGAAGAAAGGGGCCCTGAAACTGCCTAGCATGCAATCGGGAGCCCCAGAAACTAGTTTCCTAAGTTCACAGGATAACATTTAGAGCGTTAGATTTCTGTCAGCAAGCACTTGGTATTAGAATGTTTTGGGGCTCGGAAGGGACATTTTCCCAATTGACATCATGTATTTGGAATTAGTACTTTGGCCAAGGAAGGGAAAAGGCAGAGGGGTTTTGTGAGGGTTAATTCTCAGCGTTCTACCACCGTGAACTGGTACTTTCCTTCCGGTTAATTTAGGGAACCCTGCTGTGAGCCTGGAGAAGAGGATGTTTGGGTGGTTGAGAATAGCAAGGAGTGTGAGCAGGCAGGAGTAACAGAAGCACAGAGTTTGAATTTCAACTTAAGCCAGTCTTTGCAGTATGTCTGTAGCATGTAGCTTTGCAGTATGTATGTATGTATGTATGTATGTATGTATGTAGCATGTACCTTTGCAGTATGTAGCTGAGAGAGAAGGGAAATGGCTGTCAGACCAGAGAGACTTAACCCGAGTAACAGTGAGGGCCGTAGCTGAGCACCCACTGGTTCTCCGCCTTGAAATCCCCTAACTGGGAATACCGAGAGCCTGCTTGCTCTGTTGAATTGAGAGAGCTGACGTCTGCTTCCCTTGCAGCTCAGAGCCCTGAAGAAGAAGCTGGAAGATGGAATGGTGTTCACAGAGTATGAACAGATCCCAAACAAAAAAGCCAATGGCACCTTCAGCACCGCAGCTCTGCCTGAAAACGCCGAGCGCAGCCGGATCCGAGAAGTTGTCCCTTATGAGGAGAATCGAGTGGAGCTCATCCCGACCAAAGAAAACAACACAGGCTACATCAACGCCTCCCACATCAAGGTGAGGGGCACGTCAGAGGCATATGGCAAGATGTCTGTATGGGCTAAACTTGCTACTGCAGAGAGAGCCTGTCTGGTGTGTTAACCTGCCCTAAGCCATGGAGAGTGGGATTGTCCTGTTGGTTTGTGACTTATAGGTGATGGACATTGGAACAGCCGCAGCCTTTACTGTTAATGTTTTTTTATTTTTAACTCTGTTCCAGAGCAGCACAAACTATTTGCTTCTTCTTTATAATACCATAGCCAATTCGCTTTAGAGCCAAGATCTAATTTTCAGTGCTGTTCACGAGAGCAGAATGATCTATACACAAACCATGGTTGGTTGCATAGCAGACCCTCAGTCCTAAGTGGGTGTGCGAGGTTCATTTTTCATTTTTTAGATTTATTTATGTTTTATGTGTGTACGTGTTTGCCTGCGTGTGTGTATGTGCACTGTGTGCATTCCTAGTGGCCGTAGAGGCAGGAAGAGGCCATTGGATCCTTTGGATCTAGGGATCTGGAGGTTGTGAGCTCCATGTGGGTGTGAGGAGCTACAAGAGCGGCCTGTGTTCTTTGTCTGTGAGCCATCTTCTCTGACGCGCAGTGTGTGCGATTTCTGTTCGTGTCTCGGATGCTCTCTGTCTCTGTGTGCCATAGTTTAGCTAGACCTTAGACTCCAGAGCAGTGAGCACATGGGTTCCTCAATAGCTCACCTTCCCCAGTTTTTCTAATAACCGGGCATATTTCTTTAGAACACGGCTCTGAGCTCTCAACTGGGAGAGTGTTTCCAAGGCTCTTGCATGGTCAGTGGGTATGGGACTTTCAGTTTAGTTTAGCTTAGTTCAGTGTCGTTTATTTTATTGAGATAGTTTCTCTGTGTAGCCCTGGTTGTCCTGGAACTCGATCTGTAGACCAGGCTGGCCTCGAACTCAGAGATCCATCTGCCTCTGCCTCTCTAGTGCTGGGATTAAAGGCGTGCACCACTGCTGCCACTGAGTTGGGTATAGGACGATTTTAAGCAACACAGTTCGCTGGGTTAATGTGTGGTCAGTAGCTTTGAACTTGTACTTTTCTTGCACTTTTCAACTCTGGTGAAATTGCTTGAAGTTAGCTGGGCAGTAGTGGCGCACGCCTTTAATCCCAGCACTTGGGAGGCAGAGGCAGGCGGATTTCTGAGTTCGAGGCCAGCCTAGTTTACAGAGTGAGTTCCAGGACAGCCAGGGCTACACAGAGAAACCCTGTCTCAAAAAACAAAACAAAACAAAAAAAGAAATTGCCTGAAGTCTCCTCTGACCCTCCTAAGGTGTAGTTGGGCATCTGGGTTGTGTGTCACTGGCAGCTAATTTCCATATAGGATGTGATGGTGTGGTATAGCGTTTGCGCATAGGGCATAGATAGGATTGTATATGTGCATTTGTAACATACAGGCAATTTTTTGGCTCTTATTTTTGGGGAGGAGAAAAAACCTAATAAAATAATGAATGCCAGGGATCTCTTAAATAAACCAGCAATGCCGTCAGTTAGATTAGGAAATACTGAGCAGAATAACACACTCAAAGACGAGGACTCCACAGCTGCTTCCCAATGAAAACCGTACAGAGGGACACTCTCCTGGCCTCTTCCCTTGGCCCAGTCTCTTTCCCATTTTCCATCTGCTCTTTGGAAACAGCTGTCACTCCGCATAAACAGTGCCCTCCGGGGATTGTTACCCGAGATGCCGTCCCTTCTTCAGTATTCTCTGAGGCCCACATTTCATCCCAGGATAGACGTGGGCGCAATTCACAGGCCCAGAGAGCTTGCAGGAACTTGCCCTTCGTTTCTGGAATTGAGCTATATGTTTTCTCCTCTGGGTTTCAAGCAGCAGGTAACACAGAGAAGAATGGTGTCCTCCAGAGGAGGAGTCACATGATGTCCTGCAGAGTGGGAGTCACATATATTCTCCAGTGGGGGAGTCACATTGGTTTCAGCGTGATTTTTGATGCTCTCCTGTCAATACCGGAGGAGGCAGCTTCTCTGCAAGAGTTTTTGGTTCCTATATGTTGGGTACCAGATAGTTTTATGGCCTAGTTCCACAGACAGGCCACATTCCCCCCACCCCTGCTCAGTCTGTGGATGTTTTCCTCCCACCAGTATGTGGAAAATGGATTTCCTTGCCAGCTCTGACCCAAACATGTCTTGTATAAGGAGACGATAGCTGACGGTATTCTTCTTGCGGGACTCAAGTTACAATGTAGTTTCATAAAATCAGTGAGGAGGAGAGTCTCAAACACTGATCCCCTCACTGCTTCTGGAACCCTCTGGGGGTCTGAATCACATAGATGTGTAAAGGGACCCATCTTTGTCATATCAAGGCACAGGAAGGGAAGAAAGAGACAGGAAGTGTTCGCCACTGTACCTTGAGAGTGTGACCTTCAGTTCTGTGGGCTTGGTCTTGCCAATGGGATGTTTTTGCATGTGGACTTTGCGTTTATTAAAAATCTGCCATATAACCCTGTTCTTCAGACTCAGAACCACAGCCCTTTAGTGGTTTTGAAACTGCTTTAGTGGTTATAGTCATGCATAGACTTCAATAGAGACTACTGCATGAAATACAGGCTGATGCATGAAATGTATACTAAGCATGCGCTGTACAGATTAATATAGGTATTGTTACTGTAACTTAAATTCTGTTAATTTAGCCTTAGGTATGTGCATATACCCTTGAGTACCTATGAGTTTATATAAGTTCATGTGTGTATGTTTGTATGTGGTATACATGTGTGTGTACATGTATGAGTGCACTCCCTCTTGTATGCACAAATGGAGTCGAAGGTCAGCATCAGTTCTCTTTGGTATATTCTTAACATTATCTTTTAATTACATTTACCACTTTTATTACGTTGATTTGTTTTGTGTGCCTATGTCTGGGGTGTGTGTGTGTGTGTGTGTGTGTGTGTGTGTGTGTGGTGTACGTGTGCATACGAGCTCGCACAGAGGGCAATTTGCAGGAGTTTGTTCTGGGGGTCAAACCTAGGTCATCAGAGTTATTAATAGCAGGCATTTTCACCCAAAGAACCATCTCACCCAGACCCTCTGCCTTATTTTTTTTTAGGTAGGGTCTTTGCTTGAATCTAGTCTCACTGTTTGACATGTTTGGCCGGTGAGCCCCAGAGACCCTTTCTCTTGAACCTCCCTAGCCCCGAGATAATGGCGCACAGCACCACTTTAGCTTGTTTGTGGGTGCTGGGGATCAAACTCAGGTCTCCATGCTTACTTGCCAGGCAATTTTCCCATGGCAGCATCTCCTCAGCCCCTTTGTATGTTTCCAGCCTGAACTAGTTTGCATGTTTCACGTGCTGCATGCAATAAAAGAGATCAGGTAACTATGACTCGATAAGCTTGTTTTAGCAAAAAAGTATCTTGGTACAAAAGTCTGTCATCTGTTACTCATGGCTTCTGGGATTTTAGAATTGCACCAATCCACCGGGTCCAAAAGAAGTTAGACCAGCAGCTTGGTTCACTTATCGGTGTGTTCTTTGGCTTGCAGGTGGTGGTTGGTGGATCAGAATGGCACTACATTGCCACCCAGGGGCCCTTGCCACATACATGCCACGACTTCTGGCAGATGGTGTGGGAGCAGGGGGTCAATGTGATCGCCATGGTCACTGCAGAGGAGGTAAGGAGAGGCTTACTGAACACGCTCGTCCTGGGGAAGGGGTGGCCAGAAGGTGGGCCTGGTACCCAGGCCATTGGCTCAACCTGCTCTGTGCTACGGCTGTGTTATTGCGTATCCATTGCCTGGTAATGTAGCCCCTCTCCTCGTGTGTGTGTGTGTGTGTGTGTGTGTGTGTGTGTGTGAGTATGTGTGTGCATGTGTATATGTGTGCACGCATGCTTCCTTCCCCAGAGAGAGTTTAGAGTGGACTCTTTCTCTCTTTGCATTTTCCCTTGTGACATAGTTCAATACAATGAAAACCAAACACAGAATCAAAACGACCGAACTTGAGTTCATCCAGCGGACGGTGTGTACTCTGCAGAACAGTTCAGTCTGTGCTGGGTAAACACACAGGGCCTCCCGACCTCAGGGGCTGCCAGCCCCGCGTGCCACGGTGCTTATCGGCTGAAAGGAGACCAGAGCCACTGCTTAGGAAAGAGCTCTATTCTTCAGGGAAAGGAAAAAGAAAATTCCTTCGCTTTCTTTGCCAAACCAAACACAGGCTCTCTGTTGTAGCTGTGGAGCGGTGCCTGTGGTGCACAAGGGGGCAAACACCTCCTGTGTGCATGCGGCGCTGCTGCTTAGGGTGCACTGACATCAAGGGAAGAGTTGGATTTCCTCTCTGTCACACTGTCAAAACACTTACCCTTCTTCCCCCTTTTAAATCCTCATGAAATTACAAGTTGTATTTTCAAATTCAATTAGGGAACTAGCTTCATGTGTTTTACCAAGACTCCTGGTATTCTGAGGCCTGGTTTCCACCTGTTACTTCAGGACCCTGAGTAGAAAGAACTGGGCCAAAAAAGCCAAGTCATGACCCCACCATGACCACCAGTGACCCACCATGACCACCAGTGACCTACCATGACCACCAGTGACCCACCATGACCACCAGTGACCCCACCATGACCGCCAATGGCCCCAC